TCGACGTCGTCGACGTCATCATCATGATGATGAGCAACATCCTCCTCCACCTCATCGTCGTCATGAAGATCAACTACATCGTCCTCATCAGCAGCAGAATCCTCATTGTCATCATCATCAACATCGTCATCATCATAATCATCAGCAGTATCATCATTATCAGCATCATCATTATCAGCATCATCATCATCGTCACCGTCATCGTCATTATCAATATCACAACCAGCATTAAGAGCAAAATCGCCAAGAGTCACACAGCATTATTACCAGCATCGTCATCATCACCCTCGCCATCATCATCATCATCATCATCATCATCATCATCAGCAGCAGCAGCATTATCATCAGTATCACCATCGTCAGTCGTCATCAACAGCATCATCATGAGCAGCAGCATCACCACTATCACCACCATCACCACCACCACCACCATCAGCATCATCATCGTCATCGCCGTTGCCATCGGCAACATCATCATACCGTCCATCGTCATCGCCATCCTAATCGTCATTAACATAATCGGCATGATCGTCAGCAGCAATAGCATCACCACCATCACCACCGCCACTATCATCATCATCTGCATCATCATCATCATCATCAGCAGCAGCATCATCATCAGTAGCAGCAGCATCATCAGCATCATCATCAACATCAGCATCATCATCATCAGCATCATCAGCATCGTCATCAGCAGCAGCAGCAGCTGCAGGGCCAGCATCAGCATCATCATCGTCGGCATCACCATAATCATCATCATCATCATCATCATCATCATCATCATCATCATCATCATCATCATCATCATCATCATCATCATCATCGTCGGCATCATCCACATCATCATCATCATCATCATCAGTAACATCATCAGTAACATCATCATCATCACCACCACCACAAACATCATCAGCATCACCATCATCATCATGATCATCGTCGTCCTTGTCATCATCACCCTCATATAAGCATCGGCATCATCAGCAAGAGCATCACCACCACCATCATCATCGTCATCAGCATCATGATCAGTCTCGTCGTCATAATCGTCGTCGCTGTATCATCGTTGTCGTCGACCTCCTTACCATCGTCATCAGCAGCATGATCATCTTCACCATCAGTACAGTCACCCGTGTCGTCATCATCCTGGTCAGCATCATCGTCGTGAGCATCAGCAGCATCATCATTATCATCATCAGCACCTGCAGAAGCATCACCCTCATCAGTGTCTCATCAGGGTCATCATCAGTGTCATCATCAGTGTCGCTCGCTCGCCCCCTCCCACCCATGTTCGGGCGGGGCGGGAAGGAGGCCTGGCGCTCGAATCCTCTCCCACCTCCCTTTGCAAGTCACGGGGGGGGGGCCCCGCCCCAGCTCGAACCTACCCCCCTGCAACTCAGGGAGGAAGGGGGGGGGAACTGGTTCGAACCCTCCCCCCTCTTGGATGGGGGGGGGGGGGGCGCTGCACCCCCCTGGTTCGAAACCCCCTCCCCCCTCCCCGGAGGGGGCCGGGGGGCCAGTTGGAGGTTAGAGACCGGTGTCCAGAGGGTGGAGCCCCGCGGCCACCCAGGGGCGCTAAGTGGTTTGGGAGGCGGGGCGGCTCCAACGCGTCAAGGGCTTTTTGTCCAGGCAAGCGTCCACGAAACGCATTCTCCAAGGGCTCCCAGCTTCGCGCTGCGCGCTGCGCGGAGCGCGGAGTGCGAATAACTTCGCGCTCGCGCGCCGCCTCCCAGGGGAGAAGAGGAGGATGAGGAGGAATCGGAGCCGAACCGCGAAGCGCGAAGCGCGAATAACTTCGCGCCCTCGAGGGCGCCCTTGCATTCTCTCCGAGATCCGAACCCTGCCCCCACCAACCGCTCGTTCCCCTGGATCCATGGCAGGCGGGGGTAGGGTTCGGATTTCGCCACGTGCTCGACGAATTCCGAAGCTTCCCCCCGCCGCCCATCGAGTCGCCTGAATAGTTGATCGGCGACAGTAGGGTTCGGATTTCGCCGCCGAGTCTTAGAAGCCAGGAGGCCTTCAGGCCCACCCCTGCCTCTTAGGCCCCCCATTCGCCCTGGCCCTTTTGTGCGCGCCGCCGACATTGCGCATCGTCCGAAGAAGACCCCCCATGGCCACTGCCACTGTGCGAGGCGGCAATTCATCCATAGCCATCGCCTGGGGGATCGAGCTTCGGGGGTCGCGGCGGGCGGAATGGAAATAGTTGGCCCCATCAGGGCCCGAAGATTTCCATATCCTCTGCCCGCGAGGCCCTCGAAGCTCGATCCTCCAGGCGGTGGTTGTGGATAAACCCCCGACTCGGACACTGCCACCACGAAGACACCCAGCCGTCGTCGGCTGGAAGGTAGCGGGCTCTGAGGGAAACGGGCCCTGGACCCCAGGGCGTTCCCCTTTTTTCTCCCTCAGGGAGAACTCAAACAGACTTCTGGGCGACGAACGCTCTGCAACGGCAGAATGCTCATGTCACGGAACACCTCCTGGAGGTGGTGAACCCGTCAAG